CCCCAAAACCCCAAAACCCCAAAACCCCAAAACCCCAAATTTTACAAAAAATTCAAAATTAAAAAATTATTATAAAATCCAAAATGAGACCTAAAAAGGCGCAACTAGAGAAGGATGAAAATGGAAACCCATATCTCACAGAAAAGTTCTTAGTTGATCTATGTGAAGAGAACCAACAGTACATGACTCCTAAGCTAAACACCTGTCTATATCTGCATTATAAAGGCTTTTCCAAAATAGAAGCTTTAGAGAAGTACGTCAACTTGGCTTGTCTCTGGTTAGAAAGCAATGGTATTAGAAGGATTGAGAATATCTCCCACCTCGAGGAACTCAGGACTATCTATCTGCATCAGAACATCATCAGTAAGTTAGAGGGTCTGTCTACTCTGACTAAGCTAGTCACCCTTAACCTTTCTCATAATAATATTAAGAAGATCGAAAATCTGGGAGGCTGCTTCAGTTTGAAAAATCTTGACCTCTCCCACAACATGATTATTGATTACAAGGACTGTAAGGGCCTTAGCGACTGCAAGAGCCTGACTTCTGTCGACCTTTCTAACAACCACATCGAGTATGAGGAAGGTATCCTTGATTTCTTCTTCGAGCATCAAAATTTCCTCTGATTCTACTTCAAAGGAAATCCAGCTCTGAGAAAAATCAAAATGTTTAGAAAGAAAGCCATCAATGGATTTAAAAAGTTAAAATACCTCGATGATAGACCAGTCACCGAACTTGAAAGAATAGCTTCAGAAGCATGGTGCACTGGAGGCCATGAACTAGAGATGCAAAAGAGAAAGGAATACCAAGAAGCAGACCTCGCCAAGAAGAGAACTTATTACTGTAGAAATATGGTGCTTCAAGAAGAATACAAGAAGTACAAAGCTATCAAAATCGAGAACATGAAGAAAGATACAAGAGAAAAGAGAGACAAGTTAATGGAAAAGAAGGATAAATTAAGAGAAATGATCAGAAAAGCCAGACCACACACTGAGGAGAAGAAAAAGATGGAATATGAAATGGAAAATTTAGACACTGAACTTAACCACGACATGTTTGATATCCTCAAGGATGACAATATTGCAGTTCCTCCAATGAGAAGAGTCGCAGATCAGAGGAATCAACCTGAAGAGCTTATTAGAAGAGAGCAGAGTAGAAGAGAACAACTTGAGGAAGAAGCAAAAGAAAGAGCGAGACAGGAATATCTTGATAGAGAACGTCCTGATCTTCCTAAAGCCCCAGGACTGATTCCAACTCCTGTAGCAGAGCAACCAAGAGTAAAGAGTAAAGCTGAAAGAATGAGGGATGAAGGAGTTGTAATGTCGACTGACTCTGAAAGTGAGAATGATCCTACTCTCCCAGCAAAGAGGGCAGGATATAGAAGAGAGATATTCAAATGGGATGAATTTTATGAGAATAAACTTGAAGAAATTCTTATCCAACATATGTTCGATTTTACAAAAGCAGCTCATGAGTTCTCATCAATGGTTAACAATTTTGAAGATGATAGCCCTGAAAACAGATTCTACTATGAAATTAACCCTAAAATACTCCAAATGAAGTGGACTGATGTTGAAATTAAGAAATACAGAATCGTAGAATTTACTAAAGATAAAGAAGAGCAAGACGAAGACTCTGAAGAAGATCTTCCTCCTCTAGATGCTTTTGAAGATGATGATCCAGTTAGAACTTATAGCCAAGAACCTGCAGAAAAGCCGGCAGAAAAGAAACCTCAAACTAACTTGTTCCATCAATTCAGCTCAAGTGATAGCGAAGAGGATGATCAAGAAGGAACTAATTTTGAAGAACTGGATTAATTCAATCTTCTGATCGAAATAGGGGTTTTGGGGTTTTGGGGTTTTGGGGTTTTGGGGTTTTGGGGTTTTGGGG